GCTTCTTTGGGGTTTGTGAACACTTTCATCCTGTATATCTTATGGCCAAAAACTCACAGGACTACAGCCAAAAATGCCAGCAAAATTATTACTGCTGGTATGGAGGATTACTTACAAGCAACATTAATATATTTTGCCATTAGTATTATGCAACACTTATTGGATTGAGTAAAAATGTACAGATGCTGGCATTTGCTTAATGATTAACATCAATTACCATCAAAAATATCATACCTTATAGTATGGACACTCCAGTCCAATGGTTAAAAACAGCTGAGTCAACTGAGAAAGAATCTTCGATCTTGGACTTTCAGCTAAGATGCAAACAACCAGACAGACACATCATCACACAGCAACTTAAAGTTAATTGCTCATCTTTCATTTTTACTAATGTTTATAATACCGCTCTAACCCCAAAAGATTCTTGAGCGGTTTATATTCCCTTAAGAGTTAGAAAAAGTTAAATCAGCATTCTCATCATTAAATAAGAATTATGAGTCCTCTAATGCCAAAGAAAAGCAAACATCATTTTAAAAAATGTTTTAAGGGGAGGGGGCACTCATAACAACTATGGAATAGCCACATTTTGATAATTGTCTAAAAAGTCAACACAGTCAAATCAGTCTAAGCTTGGGGCAGGGGGTGCCAAAGAAGGTGCCATAACTGAGAAGAAAAATCCCTGTGATTCCTGAAGAGAACATTCTCTAGAGCAGAGTTCCCCAATGTTTTCGGCTTTGCAGAAACCATTGCTCGCTCGCCCGCAGCTCATGCAAATGAGGATGGATGCATGCACGCTCGCCAGCTGTTTCTGCGGCCCAGTTATAAACACCTCATGGCCTACTAGTGGGCTAAGGCTGACAGGTTGGGGGGCCCCTGCACTAGAACAGCGGTTGCCAACCGGTGGGCTGCGGCCCACTGGTGGGCCACGAGAAAATTTTGGTGGGCCACAGAGAAATCTCACCCCCAGAGCACCCCCCAAAGCAATTAATCCAGGCTGCGCAGAAACACAAGGCTGCGCCACCCACATGGCCCGCGGGAACTTTCCCTGGCCACTCACTCCTTACCCAGCAAACTTGCCTGCTAAATTGCTATTTTTCCTTTTTCCGACCATCAGCTGTTCTGCTGTGCCGGGAGATTGCTTGCTTTCTAGCTAGTCTTTAGATCTTCGGCTCTGCTTTTAAGCACAGCCGAACCTCCCTTAGGACTGAAGGTTCTATTATTCAGTGCAGACTCACAGCAAGCAAATTTTATGTGACAGACTGAGCTAGCTGATGGCAGATAGATAGATCACTGAATGATTCTGTGAGCAACTCAATCTGCCTGCCTGCTTTGCCTGATTTTGGGTAAAAGTTGTTCTTTTTTTATTAAAGAAATCAATATTTATATAAATATTTATAATATTTACACACAAGCCATGCCCAGCTAGTCACATGACCACCAAGCCACAAATTAGGCCATGCCCACAGAACCGGTTAGTGGTCCCTGGGATTTAAAATTATGAGTTTGGTAGTCCTTGAGGTCCAAAAGGTTGGTGACCCCTGCCGTAGAAGGATCTGTATAGAGTTTACGCTTCCAGATCTTACAAAACAGGCACTGCCCACTGATAGGGATCCTGTAGAATATTTTAAAGGAAACAATCAGCATCTTGATTACCATCCAGAAGGAAACTGGTAATCAACACAGTTTTCAAAATGGAGAAGTTTATAAAGGAGAACCTACAGTAATTCTTAGAAGTTTGTGAACCCTTTTTGAGTGTTCAATATTTATGCATAAATATGACCTAAAACATGATCTATACAAGTTCTAAAACTAGATAAAAGCCAATTGAATAAGCAAATCAAAAGCATTATGCCTGTTTATTTATTTATTGAAGAAAAGAATGCAAAGCTACATATTTGTGGCAAAATTATTTCATGTAGTCCTCAATTTGTGGTCACAATTGGGACCAGAATTTCCTTTGCTAAGCAAAGTAGTTATTAAATGAGTCATGGCCACTTTTATGGCCCTTTTTTGCCAGAGTTGTTAAACCAACCATGAGGTCATTAAGCAAATTCAGCTTCTCTCTTGACGTTGCTTGTCAGAAGCTGGCTGGCAATATTGCAAATGGAGATGATGTAACCCTGGAATGCTGCAATCATCACAAACACATGCCACTTGTCAGGCACCTGGCTTTAACTGTGGGGATTCTATGATTGTAGGAAGTGCGAGGACTGATCCCATTTTTCAGTGATAACCTTTTTTGTCATTTTTTTTACTGTGGGCACAATGGCACACATTAAAAATGAAATTATGTTGCCTGCTCTCAAAAGTGTACACATACATAACACATACAGGTATACACATGCTAGCTAGCTAGCTATATTAATCATAGTCAATCTTGAATGCATATCGGAAAGAGGAAGCTTGAGAGTTCACAAGATTGATACTATATGAAACAAAACTGTGACTGAATCTCTATGTTCTGCTTCGTATACCACAAAGCCTCCTCCCAGAAGGTAACAAGGAAAACAGGTTGTAAAGAGGATGTGTGGCATCCCAGACAATCCTGCAGATCCTGGCCAAGCATTGCTTGAAATGGTATGTCCTGGATAGATGGAAGTGAACTACCAATAATCTTCTCTGCCATCCTCACCAGTGCCATTGTAATTGCAAATGATTGGTAAACAAATGGTTTTAAGTCAATATAACTTGTATTACTTTTATATTATTACACACTGTTGTTTACAGTGTCATAAATACTCCCAAAACTCCAACTAGTTGTCCCCTGCCACCTTGTGTGGCTTCCCAACGGCCATGTTACGGTCATTACTGCTGATCAGAAAAACAAACTTAGAAGATAAGAAATCTTGAACTATCTAACTCAACTATTGGCAAGTTGGGTGAGGTACATGGGGATGAGCCAAACAGATACCAAAATTTTAATCATATTTGGTTTGTTCTGTAAGTGCTATTATGTCTTTATAAATATTTTAAGACCAGGCAGGCATCTGAATGCCTTATTAATCTTCATTTAAGGAGCACCTATGGCTCTTACAAACTATTTGAAAACAACTGTTAGTAAGAGAGCTATTATAACAGAAATTATAAAGTTTACTTGCTTACCTTGCAATTCCTGAAGAAAAAAGGGACTGAACAGTTTTTCCATAAAATTGAGCGGGTAGCATTTAATGAGAATGCATGAATGAAGAAGGTTCACAAGTTCATGAGGCTCAAACTCAGAAAGTCGCATGCTAACGAACCTTTCAACCTGTCGGAAAAAAGATGGAGCAGACGGGGGCAAATAGTTGAGCTTCCCAAATGGAACAACCTGCTCAACAATCTGAGAAACGGTGAAATTATCAGCACTGTAGATAAAGGTTTCTGCCACTGCATTGAATATGGGTTTGGAAAGAATGCATAGCGTGCTGCAGTACTGCATGATTTTGGAAATTGTGTTGGGATGCATCACAAAGGCAAATTTAGTAACATGTCTTTCTAGCGCCTCTGTGAAACGCTGGTCAGAGCATCTGAAATGAATGAATGCTTCCAGCACATCTATCATTTCATCATCTGTAAAGTACGGGATATAGCATGATGCATGCTTACAAAGTTTTATTATCAAGTTATTGACCTGGGTTTTATCTAAAACAACCAGAGCACTTAACACTGTACTTGTCTGTTTGGGAGTGAACTGGCAATCTTCTGTCTCTGCAAAACTGTTCATTTTGCTTAGCAGGTTCTGGAACAGGTTCGTTCTCCTACCTACATACAGCTGCAGAGTTCTGTATACCAGGACCATTTCTTCAATCTTCCAGTCCTCAACATTTGTACTCTGAATTTGATTCATAATTTGTTCCAGCACAGCCTGTTCTGGTCCTCCAAGGTTAAATAAGCCTTCTCCAAGAATACACAAATTTTTAATGGTCATTTGTCCCTTATCAAGACGTTGCTGGGTCTCTGATACCAAGCAAACCATCAGGTTACTGCAAGGATCCACATGCAACTTTGTCAATGCATTTAGAGAATTTACAAGAGCAGAGTCAGATAAATGTGTAGATTCTTTCTCCAACCGCAAGCAAAGTGATTTGAACATATCATTTTCCATCAGCAACTCGGGACTTTTCATTAAGCTGTCTTGTAGCTGGACTTCACCCAACCGCTGAAAGATTGCTGCTACCATGATGTCAGATAAACTTTCCAATGAACTCACAAATTTGAAAATATCTTTGTATGAAGACCATTGGTTCAATTCTTTCAAAAATATCTGTTCACCTACTGTCTTGTTATTAGAATTTAAATTGTTAGTGGCCTCTCCAAGATGTTGCACTGTTTCCACAACAGGGCTAGTGTGATTTTTTAGTTTCACATGGTAGTTTCTACAAGAAGTGCACAGGAACCCTCTTCTGTTTTCCAATAAAGAAGAGACAAAGTGGCTGACTGCAAATTGCCTCATTTTCTGACAGAAATGGCTGAAGGCTCTGCTTCCAGTTAGTAATTGTCTGCATGCTTGTACATTCGAAACATATACACGAAAAGATTTGACAACCATGAAAGCCATCTTAGCTTGGCTGATGACATTGCCTGAAAACAGAAGAAAAAGTTAAATAGAAAGACTGACTTTTTAAACAGTTTGAAATGATAAGCAAGAGCAGCATAGAGTTAACATCAATGTCTCAATTCTGTGTGAGAATGAAATGATCAGAGTATGAGACTGTTAACCAACGAATTCAACTCAGAAAAATACCTTAAATATTAAGCATCTGTAAATATATCTTTGAAAGTATTATGAATAAGGCTAAACTTCAAGTAAGTACCTAGATAAGACATGACAAGGGAGACATTTCAATCCTGCTCCTTGTCGGTATTGCCATGGTAAAAAAGAAAACAAACCCAATTATGCAAAATGCAATACATAAATAACTGCATATGTAAATTGTGCATTTGTTTTGGTAAACACTGCAGGATTCAAGACTTTTTATGTGAAATGCAACTACTGTGAGCTCTTTCCTACTCCTCGGCCAATGCGTTCTTCTCCGGTCCTCAAGGTAGGAGGAAGGAGGAAAGTGTGGCAAATTGCTATTGCCAGAAGGGTCCTTTTATTGCGGTTGGAAAAGGAGATCAGCAAAGTTACTGCTCTCACACAAGGGAGCCCACAACAACAAAGCACAACAACCACCCATAGAAACCAGAAATGGATTGAGGAGGAGCGCTACTGCCCAGGCCTGAGCAACAAAGCAAAAACATCCAAGGCAATTTACGAAGTCTGCACTACTATTACTCCTTCTCATCACTCCTTATCACCCAACCCAACGAGTTCAGGAAATAAGACAATGCACTTTAAAAAGCTCGGCTTAGAGAAGACAGCAGGATGTTACTAATTTGATAGGCTGGCCACGGACAGGTAATTGAACATGTAGCCTGTCTCTGGAGCTTCCTTCTTGTTGAATTGGAGGAGTTGTTCAGATCTCATGGGGAAAGCAGAAATCGAGATATAAGGCAAAGAATTTATCTGATGGTCAGTGTCTTTCTCAACTTTAAGATGAGTGGACTACAACTCCCAGCATTCCCCAGCCAGCATGTTGGCAGATAAGGTATAATAAATATTCCTTATAGAGTCTGTCATCTGCACCTCTATAACTGTCTGGTTTGGCTCTGCAACCCAACAAGACACAGACTCCAAAGAGGAACTAGGACTGCAGAAAAAACAATTACTGCCCACCTGCCTTCAACTGAGGACCTGTATACTGCACGAGTCAAAAAGAGGGCTGTGAAAGTATTTACAGATCCCTCACATCCCGGACATAAACGGTTTCAACTCCTTCCCTCAAAATGATGCTATAGAGCACTGCACACCAGAACAACTAGACACAAGAACAGTTTTCCCCCCAAAAACCATCATTCTGCTAAACAAATAATTCCCTCAACACTGTTCAACTATTTACAAAGTCTGCACTACTATTACTATTAATCTCAACACTCCTTAT